GGCCGCGGGGCGCAGGCGGGAGCGCGAGGAGGAGCGCGGCCGCCACCAGCCCTCCGCGGCTGCTGAGCCACTGCGGCCGGGCCGCCCCCTGCGAGCCGCTGCGCTACAACGTGTGTCTGGGCTCTGCGCTGCCCTACGGGGCCACCTCCACGCTGCTGGCCGGGGACTCGGACTCCCAGGAGGAAGCGCACGGCAAACTCCTGCTCTGGTCGGGTAAGCGTGCCGGAGCGGGTCCAGGGGCTGCGGAGGTGGGTGGGGTGGGGACTGGTGGAAAGAGTGGGCTCAGGCCTCAGCTTTGGAGAGGACTCTGGGAGAGTGAGAGAGACAGAGGTTAAAACTTTGGGGCAGGTTACGTGCAGGATGGGACCCTCGGTGATGGGGGAGGAGGAGGAGAAAGTGGAGGAGCCAGTCACAAAGGGCCTGAGCAGGGTGGGCGAGCAGAGGATGCAGGGGAACGAGGGACCGGGAGGAGGGGCGCCAAGCCACAGGGAAGAGCATTTTAAAGAAGAGGAGATGCTCCACCAAGTGCTATTCTGAGATTGAGGGCCTCGGGGATTCAAGGAGTTGTTTAGACCTTGGGGAAGAGACGGGGAAGTCGACTTGGAGAGGAAAAAGGAAAGAATGGGGGTGGAGGAGATTTAGGGATTTGGAGAGAGAAGAAGGTGGGGGAAAAGAATTGAGTGGAATCTGTGATGAATAATTAAAAGGTAACCAGAAAGTTTGGGAACTCTTGCTTTGGGAGACAGGAAGTCCAGATCTTGTCTTGCTTTTACATGAGATTTCAGTTTCCTCATCTGAAAAATTGGCATTCTGATCCTTGCCGGAGTTTGTGAAAGGATGAAATTATTGCACCAATTATTTGTTTGTTCTTTGGAAGTTTGGATTCTCAGGCTGGTCAGGGCTGCCGAAGGACCCTTAAGTCTGGGATGCAGAGGGCCTGTGGATACCTCCAGAGCCCTCTCCTCAGGGTGGGATTCTGGCAAGGCCTGAAGAACTGCAGACTGAACCCAAACAGGTCTTTCTTTAGCAGTGTGGAATGGATTGTCCTTACCTGCCCTCTTCTGGGCAGGGGACCTGTAGGTATTGGGGAAGGGATCTGGCCCTGTTGTTTCTGCTTCTGGCCAGTGTGATTCAGAGCTATCCTTGGAAAAGAAATCAAAAGCCAGGGGCAGACCTGGCAGCCTCCTTTTGACAGCCCTGGGGTGCCTCACTTCTCAGCTCAGCTGGTGAGGAGGGAGGGTGTATGTAGGTTCCCTGTCCCTGTCGGCTTGGCCATGAGACTTCTCAGGGCCTTTGCTGAGATGTTGGACAAGGCAGCATTATTATCATTGGTGCAGATGCCAGAGAAGGAATGTGGAGCATAGTATCCTGGTGGTGGAGCTGCAATCTTTTATAGGGATCAGATTGGAAAGTCAGCACATAGGGCAGAAATCCTGCGTAATCCACAGTATCTTAGAAAGTCCATAAATTACCCTAATGTGTAGTATATGTGATTTTGCTCATATATTCCTTTATGATATGTTTGTATAAATATATATAACATATATTTATGACATATAGTAGTGTATATAAGAAAGGAGTCCCTGGGTGGTGCAAATGGTTAAGTGCTTAGCTGCTAACCAAAAGATTGGGGATTCAAATCCATCCAGAGGTACCTTGGAAGAAAGGCCTGGTGATCTGCTTCCGAAAGATCATAGCCATTGAAAACCTTATGGAGAGCAGTTCTCCTCTGAAATGCATGGGGTAGCCATGAGTTGGAATTGACTCAATGGCAACTAGCTTGGTGCGACTATACATACAAAACAAAACATAATTTTAGTCTTTAAAGTTATGTAAATGCAAAAGAGCAGAAGACTTAAATAATAAAAAAGGACCACTAAAGAAAAGATGGAGCCCTGGTGGTACAGTGGTTAAGAGCTCGGCTGCTAACCAAAAGGCTGGCAGTTTGAATCCACCAGCCGCTCCTTGGAAACCCTATGGGACAGTTCTACTCTGCCCTATAAAAGAAAAGATAAACAAGGTTTCTTTGAACACCATGTGAAATAAGACTTGAGTTCAGGAACCAGCTGTATGAAAACCCCAAGTCTCAGCACAAGAATCTCAATGAATTCTGAGTTGTCCACACTATGAGAGGATATCTGTCGGTTTACTTATTTTTCGAGGGCCCACAGCTGGATTCTCCTAAGTTAAATGTGTGTGTGATACTGCCCCTGTGTAGGTCCCATCACATCAAGGAGGAAGGGTATGAACCTCTTCCAGCCCACATACCAGGGAGCCACTGCTGAGCAGTAAAGTACCTGAGTTAAAACTATATGCAGGTTTAAACCTCAGTAGCTCTGCCTCTGAGCAGTGAGCTCAGGTTCATTTGTTCCTCTGAGCTCTCCTCTGCCTTGCCTCCTCATCCCTCAACTCAGTCCTGTTCTCATGCGGTTGGACTTTTGCATGGTGGTCTATGAAGTAGGATCAGAAGCAGGAGTTGGTGTGGTGCTGGGTCAGTGAGTGGGTAGAGTGAACCCGAGCTACTTCTCACAGCCAGGTCTTCAGCTGGGAGCCCTTGGCTGGTGGTCTGTCCTGTCCTGAGGCAGTCAGCTTGATTTGGTGTTAGACATGGTCATTATCACTTGGCTCTTGGAGGTGGTTTTGTGGGTGAAAGATGAGGATGATCTAGGTTGTCTTTCTCGTCTTTCTCATATGTAAACTTTTAAAGGTAGAGACTTGGTCTTCACTTTTTTTGAAGCCTTAGAGTGCTGAGTACATGCCTCCCCTCGTTCACTCAATTATATTTTGAATGCTTGCTATGTAATATATATCCAAAAACCAAACCTCTTGCCGTCAAGTCGATTCTGACTCATAGCGACTCTATAGGACAGAGTAGAACTGCCCCATAAGGTTTCCAAGGAGCAGCTGCTGGATTCGAACTACTGACCTGTTGGTTAGCAGTGAAGCTCTTAACCACTGAACCACCAGAGCACCTGAATATAGCTATATATTACATATTGGGAGTCCCTGGGTGGTGCAAATGGTTAATGCGCTCACCTGTTGATTGAAAGTTTGGAGGATCTAGTCCACCCAGAGGCACCCAGAAGAAAGACCTGGCAGTCTGCTTCTGAAAAATCAGCCATTGGAAACCCTATAGGGTCTCTATGAGTCGGAATTGACTGGACGGCAGTGGGTTGTTTTTTTTTTTTAAACCCTATGGAGCACAGGTCTACTCTGACACACATGGGGTTGCCATGAGTTGGAGTCAACTCAATGGCAACTGGTCAGGCTCTAGGGGATATAAAGATGAAGACAGACACGATCCCGCCATCAAGGGGAAGACAAACAGACTATAGCAATACCTGTGAAAGGTATTATAACAGAATAGGGTGCTGAAGGAACACAAAGGATTTTGGGGAGCAAGGGAAGATTCCCCAGAGGAACTGACATTTAACCCATGACCAGAGAAGCAAGTAGGAATTCCTGGGCCAAGGGAGAGTTGGGACAGAAGGGCTAGGAAGAGGAGACAGGATGTAGAGGTGAGAGAGAGGGCTTGGTACTTTTAAAGAAGTGTAAGAATTTCAGTAGAACTGCATCAAAGTGTGTGAGGTGTAGAGTTGTAAGAGATAAGGCCTAGAGAGTTAGACAGTGAAGGGATCCATACCCCATACTGAGAAGTTTGGACTTTATCCAGAAGATAATGGGGAGCCATCAAAAGCTTTTAAGTAAAGGAGAGATGTAATCATATTTGCATTTCAGAATGTTGGCTTTGGGTGTCGTGTGAGGAAGCCATGGGAGGAGGGACAGCCTGGAGCCTAGGAGCTTGGTCAGGGGGTGGTTGAAGTGGCCCAGGTGAGAGATGATGGCGGTCAGGACTTGGGCAGCAGGAAGGAGGAAGGGGACAGATCCCAGAGAGTTTCAGAGGTAGAGCCAGTAGGGCTTGCTAATGAGTTGAATGTGGGGCACGAGTGGGCAGGAGGATCCAGGTTTCTGGCTTGGATGAAAGGTGGCAACATTTCCTTTCACTAAGAGAGAATGCTGGAGGAGGAACAGGTAGGAAGACAGCAGGGGCTGTTTTTGCCATGTGGATTTTTTTATTGTGGTAAAATGATAGTAACGAAACATTTGCTATTTTAACCATACAATTCAGTGACATTCATTACATTTGTCATGTTGTGCAGCCATCACCACTGCCCATTTTCAAATCTGTTTTAGCATCCTAAAGAGACAAGATACACCTGGGTGGTGCGAACAGTTAACGCATCTGCTGCTCACTGAAAGGTTGGAGGTTTGAGTTCACTCAAAGGCACCTCGGAAGGAAGGCCTGGTGATCTATTTCTGAACAATCAGTCATTGAAAACACTATGTAGCATGGTTCTACTCTGACATACCTTGGGTTGCCATGAGTTAGAGTCAACTCAGTGGCAACTGGTTTATACAGAAACTGTACTCCTTAAGTAGTAACTCATTTCCCCTTCCTCGCAGCTGCTGATAAACGAAACCAAACCTTTTGCTGTCCACTTGAGTCCGACTCATAGTGACCCTATAGGACAGAGTAGAACTGCCCCATAGGGTTTCCAGCGAGCATCTGATGAATTCGAACTGCTGACCTTTTAGTTAGCAGCTGACTTCTTGACCCCTGCACAACCAGATTTCCTCCAGTTGCTGGTAACCACTGATAAACTTTTGTGTCTGCCTTTGCCCGTTCTCAGTATTTCATGTAAGTCAGGTCATATAGTATTTGTTCTTTTGTGTCCATCCTGTAGCACGTATCAGAACTTCATTTCTCTTTATGACTGAATAATCTTCCATTGTATGTGTATACCACATTTTGTCTAACCACTCATCTGTTAATGGACACGTGGGTTGTTTCTCTTTTGGCTGTTGTGAATAGTGCTCCTATGAGCGTTGGTGTACAGTATCTGTTTGTGTCCCTGCTGTCAAGTCTCTCGGGTATATACCTCGGAGTGGAATTGCTGGGTCATGGGAATTCAATGTGTAACGTTTTGAGGAACTGCCAAATTGTTTTCCGTAGCGGCTGCATCACTTTACAATTCCACTAGCGATGATGAGGGTTTCAATTTCTCCACATCCTCACCAACACTTATTTTCCATTTTTCTCCTATTAGCCTTCCTAGTGGGTGTGCAGCCATGTGAATTTGAAGTGCTTGTGGCACAGTGGTTAAGAGCTCAGCTGCTAACCAAAAGGTTGGCAGTTTGAATCCATCAGCCAC